GGTGACCGGGCACTGGGTATGCCTTGTATCTTGCAACATTAATTTTGCGTCAAATAGATTGCAATGAGCAACACATTTTGCTCTTCCGATAGTTTTGAGACACGAGTGGAACTGCAAGCGAGTTTCACATGATGAAAAAGTTTAAAAGAGTCAAAGTTTTACATCCATTTTGCCAGACACTCTCTATTATCCTGCCGTTTTAGCACCAGCAAAAGTGCCTGCGAGGCTTCAATCTAACTACAGCCCTTTTTCCTTTCACTTATTTGACATTGGGCCAAAAGGGGAGCGCAAGCGATGGCAGGGGCGAAAAAGACCGACAGACAGAGAGAGGGTGTGGTATTTGTTCTCTGTGGGATAAATATAGGAGGTGAGTGGGTGGATTGAAAACAAGCTAACACTCGAGCAGAAAAAGAAGGGATGCAGTGCGTCAGAAATAATGATGTCAAAAGAGAAGCCAGAGGAAGCTACTGTTTTATTACAATTATAACAGTAAGAGAGCCAAGTTGAAAAGTAATAAGATTTACCGGGACACTTTGTCATGCTAATCTTGAAATAATTGTGATTAAAAAAAAAAAAAAGAGAGCCAAGGGGTGACCTGTTGAGTGGAGGACAGAGGCAAAGCATACGTGTGCAAGGAGGAGGAAGGAGAGATGCGCCAATGCTGGTAATCCCGACATCATGATGACAGAGATGGACGTACAGTTACAGAATGGAAGGAGAGAACGGAGATTGAGACAAACCCACTGTGACGGAGATGCACGGTTTGTGAGATCATCAAAAGTAGGAGGGGGTGATGCATAGGAAAGTGCTGGTTGCAGAAAGGAATTAAAAAAAAAAAAATACGTTACACAAAAGCTCCCACACCTCTTCTTTGATAGATACTGTTGAAGGGCTGCAGCCAATAGTTCCACGCAGCTTAACTTAGAAAGATGTGTTTGATTTGTGACCTGGCATGCCGTGGAATGAGGGAGATGCCGTCTGATTGATGAACTGGGGACCTTCTGGTCCGGTTCTATTCCATTGCACCATCTCTCTGCTTGCTGATACTTTCAGAAGCATGTAGACTTTTGCTATGGCCCTTCTCCATTAATGAGCTCGAGTGACTTTATAGTCGGAAACGATTGCATTTTTTTTTTTTTTTTTTTTTTGTCCAAGGAATCCAGCGATATATACTCCGTATGAGATAAAAGATAGCATGTTAAATAGGCCAGCGAAAAAATACAAAACCCTTGAGATATAAATCAAAGGCAACATGATTTGCTGTGGCGCTTTAATGAAGACTGACACAGTGGGACTCTCTGCACGTTACGATTGTGTGCATTCGTGTCGATTGGTATGTGTGCATTGCTGTTTCTATTACTGCAAACATGCATCGTTATTCACATCACTACATGTCAACATTCTGTATGTAGATATCTGATCTTAATGGGTGACACGATGCTTGGTGTGGACTGCACCAGCCCACTGTTAAGTGTGGAAAAGCCAACTATTTATGCTCCAAGTGAGAAGCGTGCCCCCTCCACCCTTTTTACAACTGGACAGGAGTGGATCAAACATCAAGAGATACATTTGTTGGCACGGGAGAAACATATTGTAATGACATATTTTGAGGTTTGTAATTCAACCCATATCACTAGAGCAGGGGTGTCAAACTTATTTTAAATGATCTGCCATACTGTGGCTTGGTTGCAGCGTTGTTGTTTTCGACATCAAGTAGCTTTTCGGTTGTGAAGCTCATTTTGTGATCTTATAGCACGGTAGCATCCACAGAAACAAATTTCCACATTCACTTGTAAACCTGATATGCTTTTCTTCATTTGATGTCACGTTACATACTTCTATCGCATCCCAGTGCTTAGGCCTACCCTACAGCCTTGACGGTGGCCATGAATTGTGTGGATTATGCCACATGCGCAACTGGAGAAAATGGCAGAGGAGGGGGCAGAGGTTTGTGAGGCTTGTAAATCCCCACTGCCAACAACTTCATGCTACTTAGGGGGCTCTCACAGAACGGTTATAGGCTCTGGTGTTGACTGCAACTCTGAAAAGAAGCTCCTGTCCGTATCCAAGACATCAGCACGTATTTAGGGACCCATATGCAGACATTTCCTGAAGTTAGCCGAGCAAATGCCAGCGAAGCTCGTTATCATGAACTCAGTCTGCAATCATCAACAGCTTAAGTAGCATTAGCTAGGAACATGTTATATATCTATTTGTGTGTTTTAATTAATTGAAAAAATATATCTAGAATAAAGTGCTGTCACTGCATTCGGCCAAGAAATCGACATTGCCGTAGCTTAGCTTGCTGCATTTCTCTGATGGTTAGCTTCAGTATAGTTAACCTTCATTTACTGTAGGGCGCTTGTAGCTTTGCTCACTGCATAGTATCATAAACATGCCTGTAAAAAGTGTACAACTTGGTTGACTGTCATCCTGGGATGGATTGTTTTTAGCCTTTCGTTGGATCACTTAAGTGAAAGCAATTGAATGGCTTATCCATGTGCAGTCTCAACACGCCTCTTGCTCATTCGGACAAAGTACTTTGCCCTTAATTGAACCACCCATATGGTTTTCAGCTCCTACTAGACAATCTGGTATCAGGAAGGCTACACTGCACAGAAGATTTGTACGCATGAAAAACCAGTTGGGTTGAACTCACCAAAGCAAAACAGTATTTCATTGCTCTGCTCTGAGTACGTTGCTCCAATACGTTATGTGATGTGATGCAAATATCTGCTAAATCCTACACGTCCCATCTGTCCAAAGTTGGGATCTGGCAGCAGCAAAGAGTGCGAACAGAAGAGGGAGACAACTGGAGATTTAATGAAAGACATACATAACGAGTGCTGAGAGCGAGAGGTGAATTGGGCTGGAAAGACAGCGGAGAACAATCTGAAATGAATCTGGACACTCCAGATGGTTTGACGTTTGTTTGTGTGCGCATATTCGGCTCATGCACGTGTTTTGTTGTTGCACTTGCTGCCAGCATGTAGGTAGCTGTGTGTGGTTTGGGTTGCTTCGGGCAAGCAGAAACATCTGGTACCTGCAAGGAACAAGTTCGAAAAGAACAAAAAACGGGAAAATCAGACTTGCTTGTCAACGTTTGGTTGACTGGATCTTGTCCTTGCAGACAAACGAGTTGTTCCCGTGGGAGAGAGTGAGTTATCTCAATAATAAAAGGTTAATAAATCAATCTGACAAACAATTACTGCTGACTTTTATGCTGGAATCACACTGATGTATGTTTGCATGTTCCAGCAATGCCAGGAAGAAAATGTACCAAGTCTTGCTTAAGGAGAGCAGCAGGAGATGAAAGATGAAGGCGAGCGGGGATAAATGATGGTGCTTTGTTAATAACGTTGGCAAAACAGCGGTTAAAGAACACAGCCTGACGTCTCAAACTGGCTCGTTGTTATTTGTTGTCTTCACATTTGCATGTGTTTGCAGAGCTCATTTACGGATGTGTTGAAACCTGGACTTGCACACCGTCTTTCCCATAACTTTGCATAATTCAGTTGTTGTCAATTAACTTTGCAGATTATTCTTCAGCAGGCCTGACTTTCCCCAAGACCGAGAACACGCACGTGCGCACGGTCACCTTCGTAGTGTACTTTATTGCTAATTAACCGCCTTTCTTCTATTCCACACTTAAAGCCGCATTGTACGCTATCTTCAAAATCATTTTACATCGCATTCAGGCTACATTCTAATTATACAAGGCCTGTAATTGACCCTCACACATGCAAAAGCACAGCTGTTGCCCAGTGGCATGAGAGAAAATCCCAATAGTCCCCCAAATTTTGTACTGTCTCCATTGTGTGCGGATATATTAATTTTCTTCCATCCATACAAATATCAATGCTATTTCTCAACTAGCTATCGTCTTGGTGGTTGCAGGGCGACTGGAGCCTCTCCCGTGTGACTTATCACACTCACACCGTGCAAAGTACGCGAGGCCAATTTCAGGTCTGATTCCAACTTTTGTGTCCTCCACCGGCGACAATCATCATGTTGTGTGCAAGGGAAAAGAGGAGCGATTTGCAGCTCCCTACTGGTTGAACGACCACCGAATGAACTCTAACAGCTTGCAAATCAGGGCTAATTATCACATTTCTGTGTGGCAAGTGTAGCATTTTGTGCGCTCTGTCTTCTTTGTATTTGCAGTATGTGTACTGCATTATGCCGTGATGCCTTGAGATGCGACGGACTTGACTTACAAGTTTTTTGCTCTAAATTTTTCTTAAATTTGAGATACCTGACCTTTTGACTTCACAACATGCAGCAGTTTGGCTGAATTAGTGAGTGACCAATTCTGAGTTGAAATTTATTGTCAAATTCAGCACAAAACAAAATTAAACATAAAAAAATATTTAAAACAACAACATAGCGTTGCTTTAGAGAATTTCAATCAGCTTAATGGTAACAAATGCTTATGAATCGTGTCCCGGAATTATAACCCCTGAGGCAACAGATATTTGAACACCAATTTTGGAGCAGCACGGGGAGACAGTTAATATTAAAATACTCATAGGCATATATTTGTATCCTCTGGGAAGAAAGACTAATCAGACTGTGGATTAGAGCGCCACTGTGTCTCATTTATATACATGCGTATGTCGGTTATATACTACCTCCAGGTAGCCACGTCCTTCATACCAAAAGGAGCAGCGCAATTTGGAATGAAGTACAAAATGTGGCACATAAAATAAAAATTTTCATGCTATTTAATTGTCACTACTGTCTGTTTTTATATAGTGGGAAACAATAAAGTGCAATTTTTCGAATTAAAAAACACCTTAGAGTGGGAATGTGTTGGCAATGAATGTCAAGATATACACAAATCAAACTTAATTATTTTTTTTGTTGTTCTTATTTCCTAAAACTTTTGTGGAATGTGACGAATTGTCTCTATGTGAACTATGAACATATTTAAATACCATTTGGAGACCAAAAGCTTCAATCCAAATGTCCTGATTGAGTGTTTTTTTTTTTTCTTTCAGCTGAATCATGTGGTGGTGTAATCCAAGGCCTCAACGGAACGATAGAATCGCCTGGCTTCCCCCACGGCTATCCCAACTACGCCAACTGTACGTGGCTGATAATAACAGGGGAGCGAAACAGGATCCAGCTCACCTTCGTCACGCTCGCACTAGAGGAAGACTTTGATATGGTGTCTGTATATGATGGACAACCTTCGCCTGGGAACTTAAAAATGAGGTAAGAATCGTCAATTCTTTTTTTTGTTGTTGTTGTGGTGATATTTTCTGTTGACGCTGTCACTCTAACCTGTAAACGGTGTCAACTCACGCACGGAAACACATTTTCCGTCACACATAATCTCCTTATGACACAGAATTTTGAGGAACGATGTTTTTCTTTCAACATCGATTTCCATTCTTCATCATATTTGGCAAAAGAGGACTGTGTTAGATTTGACACTTGACACTGTCGAGCATAATATATGGGTGATTTTCTTTCGCCGAAGCATGTCATTTGGGACTAGCATTTACAAAATGCAGCTTTTCTTTTTCATGGTGAAAAACCAAACACCTTTGAGACATACAATTTAATTCTTTGCATCCGATGTGCTTCTGTTCATATATACATTTACGAAGTACAATATTGTAGTGTTATTTTTCATGTTAAAAGTAAAACACATTTTTTTGTTGGGCTCTCTAAGAGACTGGAACCAATCAATGGCGCTTCTGTTCAATTCAATGCGGAGAGGTGATTTGAGATATGACAATTTTGAGTTATGAGCGTGGACCTGAAGCATATTAAAGTCATATCTCAAGGCACCACTGCAGAGTATATGTGTGCAGCAGATTTGGTGATTTCTGTACACAGTTAACACTGCGCATGACTTTGAACTGTAGCATTTGTATTGATTATAGTGTGAACAGATGAGGGGTGACCTGGCTGGTCCACCAATGTTACAGAGCCTAAAATACAATGGAAATACTATTTACTTTTTTTTTTTTTTTTTAAACAATGTACACTCAAAGTGAATTTGTTTTGAAGTCAAATTGTTGTATATTTGAGCTTAAATTTGACCTGTTCTGTGTATGTGCTAAACACGCCACAGGGACATGCCAATCTTGTCATCATCAATATGGTCAGACCAAACAAGTTAAAAGCCATTGCTGAACTGGCAGCACCGGCACTTGGTAAATTGTTGCAGTGCAGTAAGGGTCGTTACAAAAGCGTCCACAGATTTGGCTCGCTGTTGGGAGTTTATTCATCGCAGAGTTTGTGTGTAGGAGGGATGAGCTGGGAAGGCACATACTGTTGTGTTTGAGCTTGCTGGTGCAGTTTTGGAAAACAGTGTTTTTTTGGTTTTTTTTTTTTTTTTGTTAAAACGTTCTATCCAGCAGCTTTATTATGTCTCTGAGTGAGAACAATACCTATTTAGTGGTTTGCCCAGAGGAGGACAAAAGGAATGCTGACTTGACTGAGCTTCTAGAAAATACACATATTTTTCCACACGAAGTGTATCAACTGACTGATGATTCAGATGATGATGATAATGTCGCCATACTTTGCTTTGCTCGCTCACCAAGATATTCTGGCAATACCATTTCGGCCCCTTACATATTTAAGTTTGTGTGTGTGTGGGGGGGGGGGGGTAATTCTTTAAAATGCGCATTATCGTCATAAAGTATGAAAAGCAAAACACGATCAGACAAATGTGTGTTATTTTGTGCGTACTGTGTATGCGTGCGTGCATGCGTGTGTGTGCGTCATGAAGCTTGTTGGCACAATCTTTGCTCCACATGCAGGCCTCACACAAGGTGAGTTGACAGCTGTGCCAACAGCCTCCAGTGAAGTCCAGCTGTGTCGAGACAACAGGAGAGTGAAGTGTACCAGCAGCTCACTTGTGCTCGCCCCCTCGGTGCAATTTTACAAATTCCTCACAGCTGATGCTCTTTTCAATGACTCCACTTTTTTTTCTCGATCCGTTGAAAGCAGCATTTTCATTCTGATCATGATAATGATGATTAATTAATGATGATGACTATTTTTACACCGCTAGCTTTCAAATTGTCACAGTTTTAAGTACATGTCCAATAGCTTCAAAACATAAACAAACATTTTTTTTATACTGCCAATGATTAAAACTGGATTGGCTCAAGTAACATAATTTAGATTGTTTTCCTCTCATGTGGCTCATTTCAGACATTGATGCTGGTTGCCTTTTTTCAGTTCCCGAATATGGCAATGAATAAGGAAAAACTGAGTATTGACAAAACAGGGCTTCGGTTCCATCTGGGGCATCTTAAGGCACACAAACACAACAGATAGACTACTTGTCCAGTGAATAATGAAGGATACTGTGGATTCCTCCAAAATCTGCAAATAGGCGCATGAACACTGCATTTTGATGCCTGAGATCTACCAGTGCCGAATCAAAGCATGCTTAGAGGTGTGCAGCTTCACCATCATAATGATATACGTTATTGTGTCTGGCTTGGCGGCAGGCTGCTGCACATGCGGAAACGTATTTTTAGTCTGTGTGAAAGCATTTGTGAGCGACATCATTATGCCGGTGCTGTGTTGTAGTGTGTTGTGGAAAATCACCGACTCTAACACCCCGACACAGTTCAAACTTACAAGGATCCGCTTAGAATCAAAATGTGGTACCATTTGATTTCACATGAATCGGTGCTTGGTAATACCGAGCCAAATTGATCAGTATAAAAAAAAGTCGCAACTTTGTTCGCCATCTCTATTCTTTGCTGAGGATAAAGATTGGATGCCTGTGATTATTGTTGCTGCATCGTTTGTGTTCCGTTGCTTAAATCTTACATTACTGCCACATTGATGCTAATTGTCAGCCTATGTGACACTCTGGCCGGCCTGGTGGTCGCCCCCACTTATTGGGAAAGATTTTGATACCTATGACATTCCTGCTGCTTTCACATGGATGCACAATTCTTAGATCCCACGATACTCTGCCACAAGTTATTTACTTTAACTGCATAAAAAATACAAACAAAAAAGTAAAATATGAATGGGAACTAAAAGAATCTCTCTTGTTGACAATATTTAATTCTAACAGTAAATCCATCCATCCAGACTCCACAAATAAATGTCTGGCTCTGTCCCGGAGTCTGTTTTTAGTTGTAAAGTTGTAAAGCAAGTTGAGTCACGGCCACCAGAAGGTGCTCATATCTAAAGTCTTGGTTCTCAAGTCATAACAAAAAAAAAAAAAAAAAAAAAAAAAAAAGTTAAACAAAAACTTTAAAAAAAAAAAAAAAAAAAAAAAAAAAAAGTCTAATCAACAACTTGAAAAAAGAAAAGAAAAAAAAAACAAATCAAGCTGGGTCACTCATCTCAAAGCAATATATCTTTCATATCATTGGTTCTCAACCGTTGTCACACGGGGACCAAATTTTATATTTTAACCATGCTTGCTCAGGCTAGACCTTCAAAGTTCCTTTCGGAGCATCTTATTGACCACTGCAAATACAAAGTGTGCTCTTAACGTTGAAGTCCGTAACAATGAAATGTCATATTTCTGCACCATTGGAACCTATGGAACCCATGCAAATTTTTACAACCTGTCCGTGACCCACTTTTGGGTCCCAACCCACCAGTTGAGAATTACGGTTTTAGGTCATGGTGCAATTTGTTGTGAGACCTTATTACATTTCAGAATCGACTCTGATCTAAATGACACTGCCCCCATAGTACCGTAATTAAGATCCCTGATTATTGTCATTTCCTCATTGATTTTTCAAATGACAAAGATGAAGCCGTGGCGGGGGTCTTTTCACTCTGGCTGCTTCTATTTTAGGGGTGTGTGTGTGTGTGTGTGTGTGTGTGTGTGTGTGTGTGTGTGTGTGTGTGTGTGTGTAATAAGTGGTGGTGGTCTGTTTTGTGACCTAAAACCTGCCTTCTCTCAACATTGACATGAGCCCATCGTATGGGCTCCCACGGTCATTCAGAGGAAAGCAATCGAAGCTTGAATGCCTTCTTTTGTTCCAAAAGAGGAGCCCGGCTCTATCTTTCTCTCGCAGGCAGCCGTGCAACTGCCCTCAGACCTTATGTGGGGAAATTTAGCAATCTCGTCGGAAAGACGAGCTGACCTGACATCTGAGGCTTTTCCACGGCGGCCCCAGCTGTGCATCAGCAGCAGTAAATCTCCTCCATCCCACTCACACTGACGAAAGATGGCAACAGGGTACGCATCTTGATTTCTTGTTTGTTTTTGAAAAAGAAAAGTCTCTGCGCCACAATCGCCAAGATCCGCACCCTGCTTGCTGAAGTAAAAAAAAAAATCCTTTTTATCCTCACAGTCCTTTAAAATTCCAAATTCCTGTCAAACTTTTTTTTTTTATGTCTTCAAGGAGAAATGAAGGGTTGATGGAAAAACTTTGATTTCTCAGACCACGCCGTGTATGGCGAGGTAGCAACATTTTAGAATATGCTGAGGAAGATGTTTCAAAGTTTCTTTTCAATTGCCGCTCTGCAACTTCTCGCTACTGAAATCAAATGCATTTGAGTGAAATCCAGCTGACCGTAGACACTTTTCACTGCCACCATTTCTCATACTTACCTGCTGTGAATTATTGAAACGACATCTCTAAGTGGGGACCCAAGTTTTTCTCAGGTCTTTTGAAATTGTGGTTTATTGCTGAAGAATGCATTCATGTGCCGTGCTAGCTAAAAAAAATGTTTGGGACGATTGGTATTGATTTGATTGGCTCAGAGCGTGCTTGCTAATCATGTTATAGTGCTACACTGCCTTGTAATATTGAGAGAATAGTGTCAGGTAGTGTTGTCAGGACACATTCTAGTGACTGTCTCTTGGTGCTAACACAGATGCTAACGGTATTGTTCAGTCGTGTATACCGGATTGCTGAATGTTTATTGCTTTGAGTTTGGGTGGGAATAATAGGCATATGTAGGAGCAGCCTTGGAGCAACAATCTCTTTTTCTTACTTTAAATCAGGGATGAGCAACTGGCGGATGCGGCTCGTGCCAAGGAAATGTTGACAGTTCGTTTGAAGTGCATGAGGAGTTACGCAATTTGTGTCTTCCAAAAACATGGAGAGATTCAATGGACTGTTTCTCGCAGCAGCATGCCCAGGCGGGGGCTGTGGATGTCTCTTCTATAAATTGGTTCAATAAAAAACAAAATTTGATTTACCCGTTGGCTTCCATTTTTCCGGTCCTTGGGGAGTGTCTATGTTTGAGAAAGATAGAACGCGGCA